GAAAGTACAGCCGAAAAATCGAAATGAGTGTCGAGCTGTCCAGACATCTCGGGGATCCTGTCGACGGTCAATCCTGGAAATCACTACAGACCATCAGCCACAGCGCACACAGGCGAGCAGCCACAGCGCATACAGGCGAGCAGCCACAGCGCACACAGGCGAGCAGCCACAGCGCACACAGGCGAGCAGCCACAGCGCACGCAGGCGAGCAGCCACAGCGCACCTAGGCGAGCAGCCACAGCGCACCTAGGCGAGCAGCCACAGCGCACACAGGCGAGCAGCCACAGCGCGCACAGGCGAGCAGCCACATCGCACCCAGGCGAGCAGCCACAGCGCACCCAGGCGGGCAGCCGACCGCCGGGGATTGGCCGGCGGCTCGCCACCGGTGCGGATGTGGTTTGCCCTGCCGCGTAAACAGGTCTCGAAAACGTCTGCTCCAGATAAGAAATCCCCGTCTGTTTCTTTGCATTTGCCTTGCTCGCAGTATGTCAAGCACAACAAGACCAAACTTGTCATCCGATACATGTGACCGAGCGCTTAGCGGCATGGGGCTGCCGCCATCTTGGGCGTCACGCTGCCATCAGTCCGCCGTCAGCAAACAAATGCCCACAACGCGAGAAGTGCGAGTCGATAAGATACATCAACCGGGGTTATAAGAAAAGCAGCTAGTTTCTGGAATGAGACAACACAAACATTCACCTTCCTCCAAAAAATACGCGCGGAGGACGGCTGTTTCAAATTCTGGCGGGAGCCACGGCCGTGTTGCAAGCAGTGGGGACCGCAAGGGAATGAATGTGTTCAGAAACGCAGCCGCAGTTGCCGTCCTCCTGCTACGGCCGCGCCGGGACCAATCGCACGCCGTGAGCCGGCCGCCGCCGCTCCGCAGACACGTCAGGCCTGTGGAGCGGCCGGCGACCGGAGGAGGACGCCTCCCGGCCCTGCCAGGGTACTCACGTGGAGGCGAGGGCCTTGAGCGCTCCTGGCCGGCGGTGTCCCAGATCTGAGCTCGCACCGTCCTCGAGTCGATCTGCGGGCGGAGCGCCGCCGCGTCAGGCGGGGCAGCGCCGCGGTACCGCAACATCCTCCCGGCGGAAGAGCGGAGAGCGCAGAGGGCCGCCACATCGCCGCTGCAGGATTGCTCGGTGGGGCCAACACACGATGTCGATACGTATGTTTCCCTCACGCGGCGGCAGTTCAGATCCTCTGACATACACTAAAGCACGGAACTCACATAGTCTGAAACGCTCCCTTTGTCGCTGGGAGGCATCCTAGCTGCTCTTCTCAAACACCAATAAACTTCACCCCCGTTTGAGAAGGCATACTCACCACCATGTTCTTGGGCGTCGAAGTCAAGGCCGATGGTCGGCAGGGTCTGCATTTGGAACGTGTTTCTCGTGAAGCGCGTGAACAGGTTGCTCTTGCCCACAGCCGGAGTCGCCAGCCAGCACCACTGGGGGCGGAAGGTCAGCCGGTCAGCGGAGCCACAGTTTCGGATGCCAGCCAGCAGCGTTCGCAGACGGACCGCGCCGACGCAGCCGCGCGGGACGCCACCTAATCCGGCGGCGGACCAAGCCCGGGGAGTCCCTGCCAGCGTCTCCGTGGAAGCCGGGCGAGGTGGGGCAGGGACCTCACTGCTCAGTGGTGCATAAATCATAGCATGTCGTGACTTCAAGTGCAGTTAAGTGTCAAGGGGGCGTTGAACCAAGCCTAGTAGGCCGAAACAAGAATAGCGTAATTAGCTCTTCTGGACTTCAGATTTTTCAGCTACGACGGGCTTTAATAAACAAGGCCCTTCAGGCCTTCAAACAGAGCGGCGTTCAACCTGTCGCTCCTCGCCCGCGACCCGGGTCCAGGCCTTACGGCGCTCTTCATAAACTGCTGTACGCCAGCAACAAACTCCGAGGCCGCAACCGAATCAGTTCACTTGCCATCGGATCATGCCCACGCCAACCATTATCGAAACCGTACCAAATTTATCAACACCTGATCATGATCAGTAAACGCCCGTCCCAGGAAGCTATCCCGGGCCTATCGGCTGCTCCTGACTCGACCGGGCGGTCTGCGCGGCTGAGTCAAGGTTACAGGGGGGTCGGGCACACAGGGAGCCCAGGCGAGCCTCGCAGGTCGGCCTGGTTCACCGCTCGCAGCGTCACTGGTGCTGTCCGCGCTCCCTCTGCCAAGGTCGGTGAATGCGCCCAACCGTGGCCACAGGGCGGGATCCGGGAAGACGGTAACATGTACACAGAAGTGTTTCCAAGCGTGCGCGCAATGATGCAATCCTGCCACATTTATCGCCCAGCCCGCACATCGCGGGGCGGGCCGACCGAACGCGACTCAAAAGCGCCGTAGCTTGTCGCCAGCTGGTACCGAAGAATCCGAGCGCCCTAGGAACTTTACGGTGACGCACCTGCATGGCGAGATAGCAACGCTGCGTACCGGGGGTCAGGCCTACGGTTTTCTCCTTCCTTTCGGAGCATTTTTCTTAAGGCGTCCAACGTTCCTGATTTAATTTCCATCTTTGTTTTTATACGAATTGCTCTCTTTGCGCCATAATTGCGAAGTCTTGGTCGTAACACAACCGATTGGGAGGCGGTAGCCCAATACATACGACGTTTTCATATGATGTTGTGATAGCGTTGCTGTCCACAACATCACCTCCTGCTACAGCGCTGGGGCACGGGAGGGCCGCGTGCCCTCGAGCTAAGGCCCTGCAGCTTGTCCTGTTCGGTGTCCTGCACGCACGAGATGCCCTGCTTTTCGGACCGCGCGACGCCGACTGACCGCGAGTGCCGTCGTCGGTCGCGGCTGGGACAGCGGGCGGTAGGTACGCACCTTTAAAAATGTAGTCGTAGGTATCCTGCAGGTCCGGCTCGGGCGCGTCGGCCGGCATCGCGCCTGCTGCCGCCGCCGGCGGCTCTCACGAACCGCACGCTCACCGGGCTCCGGTCCGCCGCCGCGCGAACTCCGGTCTGCCGCCGCGCGAACTCCGGTCAGCTACCGCGCGAACTCCAACCGGAACTCGCGCGAACTCCGGTCTGCCGCCGCGTGAACTCCACCGGGCACTTACAGCGCGCACCGACCTTTCACCGGGCCGCCACAGCCGCCGCCACCTCCCCGCTCGCGCTCTATCGCGACGACTGAGCGCCGGCCGCGGACGTCCGGCCCAGCCGGCCGGCTATCAGCTGCCAGTTCCAGGTGGCCGGCGCCACGGCCGAGACGTGGAGCTGACGTCATGCCGGCGCCCGGCGACCAGTGAACGGCCGCGCCGCGCCCGGCGTGACGTCAGCCTGACGTCACCGCCGCCGCTGGCGGGACAGCTGGCGGCCCGGTGTCGACAGAGGGAAACCGGGCCGCCCCCGCCCGCCGCAGATGGTCAGGGGCTAACGAACAGGCCGGCGCCGGCACGGTCTCTCGCCGTGACCCGCTCGCGGTGCTCGCCGTGTCGGCTGGCGGTGCGACCCGCCAACAGCCGGCTGTCCCGGCATCCGAGCGGCCCTCCTGATACCACGGGGCGTCCTTCAGGCCTCTCAGAGGCGCTCCGAGCGAGCGCGTCAGGCGGGCCGCGGTGGCCTTCTGGGACCACATATATGTAGACCGCGCGAACATTCTTGAGATAAGAGTGTTGAACATGCTTGAGAACCATCAAGCTGTGGTAAAATGCCGCGGACAGATGGTATGGACGATCAGCTGCGCCGACACCGCTGACCAAAATCGCCTTGACAACGACGCTTCTCAGAAACGGGTTTCGCCACGCCGGGCGTCCATTCAGTCCATTCTGGTACATCAGACTGAATCCATTCATCCCTCCGAGGGATCAGAGTGCTATTTGTCGAGCTGCCCGGCCCTGGCGCGATAGCCGCTTCAACGACTGATGGAAGCACTCCAGCTGAGCGGCTTCTGATAATGTCCACAGCTCAACCCCGGACTGAACGGCCTCTGAAAATGTCCACAGTCCAACCCCGGACTGGACGGCCTCTGATAATGTCCACAGCTCAACCCCGGACTGAACGGCCTCTGAAAATCCCCACAGCTCACACCGGACCGAGCGGCCTCTAACAATGCCCACAACTCACACCGGACTGGACGGCCTTTGATAATGCCCACAGCTCACCACCGGACTGAACGGCCTCAGATAATGCCCACAACTCACACCGGACTGAACGGCCTCCGATGATGCCCACAGCTCACTCCGTACTGAAGGACTCTGATAATGCCCACAGCTCACCCCCAGACTGGACGGCCCCTGATAATGCCCACAAATCAGCCCGCTCTAAACGGCCTCAGACATTGCCCACAGCTCACCCCAGACTGAACGGTCTCTGATAATGCCCACAGCTCACCCCATTCTAAACGGCCTCTGACAATGCCGACAACTCACTCCCGGACTGAACGGCCTCTGACAATGCCAACTCACACCGGACTGAACGGCCTCTGATAATGCCGACAACTCACACCGGACTGAACGACTCTGATAACGCCCACAGCTCACCCCCATACTGAACGACCTCTGATAATGCCCACAGCTCATACGGGACTAACAGCCTCCAATTATGTCCACAGCTCAAACCCGGACTTCATTCTTCGGTCTCCATTCTCACAGCAGCAGCCAGCTTCGAAAACCAAACTCGATATGACTATTTTATTTCAATAAGGTTTCAACATGGTTTACGGAAACTTGTCACAGCTACTGCTGGCGCGCGCGGCGGACAGACGCGATGTAGTAGTGGCGGCGCCGGGGCCGGGGCCGGGGCCTGGCCGGGCCGCCGGCGCCGCGCGTAACTAAAGGCACAACAAGCGGCCGGGCCGGCGCGTCCGGCGGCCGCCGGCGGCGCGCGCGCGCCCCCTGCCGCCCGCGAGGCCGGCCGCGCCCCGCCCACAAGGCGCGCCTCTACTGAGGTACCCCAACTCAACTTTGGCAGATGGGCCGCCCGGCGGCCGGGACGCCGCGGTGACCAGCTAAACAAGGCAGCCGTTTTAGATAAGACACTAACGCTTGCGGATACAAAAGACTGGTTATGCGACCACAAGTAAACGCAACCCCTCGAGGCGGAATGGGCATATAACAAGAGTGACGAGTTCGCAGCCTGGCGGCGCGCGCGCGCTCACGTGTCCCCAGTGTGGAGTAGCGGGAGAATTTTAGCCCTTTTGCGGCGTGAGGCCGAACGCTCAGCAATATATCACAATTGCCTCCAATAAATACATGTAAAAAGAGGGTGTGTTGGGGCGGCGGCGCCGTCCGTGGCGCGTGTGGAGGGGGCGGGGCGGGACGCAGCGGGCGCCGGTCTAGCAGCACTGCTTCTTGACGGGCCCAGAGTCGTCGGTGGGCTCGATCACAATGGGCCCGGCCGACGAGGGGCGGGCCGTGTCGTCGCCGTGGTCGGGAATCTGCTTCTGCGACATGATCCGGTAGATCTCTGCGGACACGGCGTGGCGGGTGAGGCCAGCGGCGGGGGTCAGGGCGCCGCGGCAGCCCGGAAGGAGCCGGAGGGAGGGGAGGCAGAGGCGACGGGCAGGGCCCTGTGCAGGGAGCGGCTGGCGGGCTGGCGGGGCTGGCGGGCTGGGCGGACCGACCCCTGACCAGCTGCTGCGGCGGCTAGCCCCACGCCGACGGGACGCATCTGTCCCGGGAGGGCGGCAGAGGAACATGCAGGACGGATGGTGACGACCGCATCTACGCAGGGCGGTCAGCTCTTCAACAGACGCAAGCAGGACCGGGTGCGGACGGAGCCTGAGAGGAAGACCACAGAAGCCGGTGCTCGTAGTGTGCAGGGCGACGGGGAACACTCAGACGCCGTGACAACACCGAAAGCAGCTACCCGCGGCGCCAGCGAGACGGTCACCGCCACAGACAGTCAGAGCCAGGCACCAGTGCCGCTGATCCACAGAGCAGTGGCGTGTTACAGAGTGAATGTGCTTCTCGCGAAGACTGTGCTATACCAGGCTGGGGGGGCGCGGCCAGCGAGGCGGGGGACCGACAGAAAGCCGAAGAGACCAGCCAGCCGCAGCAGCGACTCACACCAGCCGGTGGTCAGGAGCCGGGCCCGACTCGGACCGGGAGGGCTGGCCGGATCTGGACGGAAAGGATGACCGGATCTGGACTGGGAGGATAGTCGGATCTGGACGGAACGAGAGTCGGATCTGGACAGGGACGTGCGGATCTGGACCGGAAGAGCAGCAGGCTTCGGACGAGGACGACGTCCGGATCTGAACAGGAAGACTGTCCGGACCTGGACCGGGAGGAGGGCCGGGTCCGGACCAGGAGACCGGCCGACGGGCTTGCGACGGACGGCGCCACAGATCGCGAGGAGGCGTACGGGAACCACACGCCCGCGTTCACAATGACGGCGGCAGGAGCCGCCCGATGACCCAGAGATGACCCGATCTAGGCGGCCCGCTGCACTCGGCACGCAACGTGAGAAGCCGGCAGCGCCACCCGGAAACAGGAGCGTATCGGCACACGTCTCCAGCGCCCCCGCGGCCACCGCGCCGACCGGTCGCGGCCGGTTAAGCGGACACAGACGAGTGTGCGGTGCTTGGCTCGTGAGTGCCTGCATGCTGGATGAAGCCCTTTTGCCATGTGAATGTGGCTGGTGCAGGCGGCGCTCAAACCGTGGCAACACACGGCTAGACACGGGATTTTACATGAGCAACAATAAATTTAGTAGGCTTGTACGCCGGTACGGGGAATCGCCAGTCCCAATGTCGCACAAGAAATACCAAATCTCTCCAAAAGCATACTACTCCATTGCAAGTTTTCTTTGAAAACGCGACGGAAGGTACGAATGAAAACGCGTGGCGTGGGTTAACGGTCGACACACTCTCGTTGGCAGCGTAAGAGGTAAACACAGCTGCTCTGCGCATTTCAGCCCGTTTCGTAGATGACCGCTGTTAATTTCGGTTGTCTGTCCGGCCGCTACGCCGCAGCCGGCGGCCCGTGCAGACGCCCGGCGCTCCGGTAAACAGGCCGCGCCCCGCCCCCGGGCGGGGCTTCATCCAGCATGGGCGACGGTTGCCGTGCGGGGTCAGAGGGGAGAAGCACCGGACCTGTCGGCGCGCCGTTAGTTCTGGCAGCACTGTCTGCGCACGTTCTCCGTGTTGACCGTGGGTTCCACGTGGATAGACTTGACGTTGTGAGTGGGGGAGTCCTCATCGTTGGGCTCTCGGATCTGTTTCTGCGAGACGATCCGGTATATCTCTGCGCGTGCCAGGCCGCACCCGTTAGTCGGTATCACGCAGTGCCCACGCACACACCCACACAGACACACAGGGAGACAGAGGCTCGCGCGCACGGGGTGGGGTGAGGCGCCGCCACCGCCGGCCCGGCCGCCGGCGCCGGGCCGCTATACAGACGCGCCGCCGCCGCCGCCTGCCGCCGGCCGGGCGCTGTTAGTGGTGCCGGGACGCGCCGGCGCCGGCCGACGGCGGCCCGGCGACGAGAGCCGGCGGCCGCCCGTCACGCAGCGGCCGGCAGCGCCGTCACGGACAGAGGAGACCGCTGCAGGCCGAGTCACGTCCATATCACCCCTACAGCTACCGACACATCAGGTAGTGACGCCAAAGCGCGCGGCAGGCGGCCAGCTGCGTCGGTCATCTGTTGTGACTTGATCGATAGCGACTCAGTGTGCTTCACTTGGCAACGACTACAAAATGCCTCGATAATCGTTTCAGCATGCTGACCTACACCACAGGGGATGCAAGCGCTCACTTTTTCAATGAAGCACACCTGCACGGGCAAAACTATGCAAAACGCCACAGCCCTGCCACCAGATCCGACACATCTACTCCGCAAATGCCGATCACACGTCCAAAACACCGGAAATCTACGCCAGTAAAAACGGACAGAAAACTACCAAAAAGCTATCGACAAACACAGCACACCAAATGCCGGGACACGGCGTCCGTCGAAACGCCCAGGCTGGGGCGGGCCGTTGTACCTGTGAGAATGTTCTGGAAGGCCGTCTCCACGTTGGTCGAGTCCAGCGCCGAGGTCTCGATGAAGCTGAGCGTGTTGCGCTCGGCGAACGCCTTGGCCTCGTCCGTCGGCACCGCGCGCAGGTGTCGCAGGTCCGACTTGTTACCTGTCGAGAGCGGGCCGGTCAGAGGAGGAGCGGGCCGGGTCAGAGGAGGAAAGCGAGCCGGTCAGAAGGGAGGAGCGAGCCGGGTCAGAGGGGAGGAGCGGGCCGGATCAGAGGGAGGAGCAGGCCGGATCAGAGGGGAGGAGCGGGGCCGGGCCAGGGTCAGAAGGGAGGAGCGGGGCCGGGTCAGAGGGGGGAGGGGGAAGCGGGTCGGGTCAGAGGGGATGAGTAGGCCGGATCAGAGGTGAGGAGCGAGCCGGGTCAGAGGTGAGGAGCGGGCCGGGTCAGAGGAAAGAAGCGGGTCGGGTCAGAGAGGAGCGGGCCAGGTCAAAGACGAGGGGTGGGCCGGGTCAGCGGGTCACACGCCATCGGCAGCGCCACCACCGCTCGCCGCCTGAGGAACGCAGGTTGGAATCCCGATAGAGACGCGCTACAGCCACAGCATGTGGAGCAATCCACCCCGGCCGTGTTTTTGTTATTTTTTCACTAAGTGCTGTACGAAACCACAAACGGCCACTGAAGTCATGTGTGATAATTCATGGCTCAGTTCACAACTTAACAACGACCAATGCCACGGCAGAACAACGAAAATGTCTGCGAGACAACTGCCAAGATTTATAGGTACTTACTCGTCGAGGAACTATCAAACACACATGACAAGCTGGACCGCTTATCGTAAAACTATAAGCACCCAAATGCTTTCCAAATCTCTCTCGAAACCGAGTCGTTCCAATTTCGAATTCCGCCATCGCACGCGTCAAGGCCGGCAGCCGACACAAGCTGAATACGGCGACTCAACGACGTTGCCGACCACTTTGTCGAATTAATTTCATTAGCTGCATAGTTCCATTATCAGTCAAAGTGCATTCCGCGAGCCGGCCGTCCGGCGTGCTGCCGTCACAGCAGCGGGCTTCAGCGCGCCGTGCGCCGAGCCCGAGCCGACCCCGCGCCGCGACCGTCGGTGCCGCGCCGCGACCGTCGGCACCGCGCCGACGGACGCGTCAGCTGACGTGCTCTTGGACGGCGCGGGTCACACGGCCGGCCGACGTGGCCCGATAGCGGCCCGGCCGCGATACGGCGATACGGCGATACGGCGGCGCACGTCACGCGTCACGCGACAGGCCGCCTGCGGGGCCGGCGGGGCGCCCAGTCGGCCGCCGGCCACTTCCGGCAGCAGCGGGCTCGGTCCGTCGCCGGCAGCTCCGGCCGCGGGCGCGCCGCTGGCGGTCAGCGCCGCCGCATCCGCCGTCGTGAACAAAAGAGCTCCTCTCGCCCACCCGCTAGACACCGCCCCGATCGTGCAGCCGGCGCGTAACAGGCTGCAATAATTTGGGCGGATAACATGCTGAAATCAAGATTAAGGATGTGCTGGCCGAGTCTCGCACCGCTGAATGTTCGCCGAAAGGCGCGCAGTTCGCCATTCTTTTTTACTATTCATCGCACTTAATTCCATCAACGTACAAAAATTATGTAGTGGTAGAGGCCGTCGAACAAGTAATTTGAATTGCGAATACTGGTGAGGAACACGACGCCCACAGTTAGTTCTGTGGATTCATGCACGATCGTAAAGCAACCAGCCCGGGGACGACTGTTGCCGGGCGTTACTCTTGACTGAGCTGTGTGCCAGAGTGTAAACAAGCCCTGACTCGTCAGGTCACCGCCGGTTCAAGGCTCACTCTAGCGGTCACACCGAAGCCGACACGATAGCGCCAGCGTGCTCAAAGAAGTGGGCCGATAACGAGACTCGTGGACACCACTGTTCCAATCGCTTCAGGTTTCAGTGTGCACAAAATCGTTCCAAACAAAGTACACAAACAGCGCAAACCAATTCGTTCAATTTGTGCCACGAATTCGAAACTAAGCATCGCTTAACGCAAACGCACGATCGTGCAGCTTCCGCATCAGACACCTTCGGAAAAATAGCTTTCCTCCACATCAATCTTAGGTCACATTTTACCGGGAGATTTTCCGCCTCGGGCGGCCATGTAGGGGTGACAGCTATGCCGCCGACGGCGTCAGGGAGGCGCCTGGCCCGGCCCGGCACCGCGTTCAGCCCCCACCGCCGCCACTCACCGCGAGCACGGTGACGATGTTCTGACTGGCGCGGCCCTGGTGCGCTCAGCCCCCACCGCCGCCACTCACCCACGAGCATGATGACGATGTTCTGGTCAGCGTGGTCACGCAGCTCCCGCAGCCAGCGCTCCACGTTCTCGTACGTCAGGTGCTTGGCAATGTCGTACACTAGCAGCGCGCCCACCGCTCCTCGGTAGTAGCTGAGGGACACGGCGCGGCCGCCCGTCAGACGCGCTCCGGCTCGCGGCTCGTGCGGCCCCAACGGCGGACCGGGCCAGGTCTCGGCAGCGGCAGGCCCGCCGACGGGTCACCGAAGGGCGGCGCCCCCCGGTCACCGGCACCGGCGCTACAGATCGCGACTCCGGGCCAGCTGCCGGTCGCCAGCCACGCTCGGCGCGATCACCAGCGGATCCGACATCATGCATCAGCACCAACAGGATGTCCGTGTCACGAAGAACACGCAACTGGGGACGGATTTTCCTTTTTTGGGTGCCGCAATCCCCCCCCCCCCCCCAACTTGGACTCCAACCCTCAACCCTTAGGATGAAAGTGGACCCCAGTCAGGGAAAAATCTGCTGTTGGTGTATTTCGGAGGTAGGTGTCCCATCTTTACCTTCCCACCTACCACCAGATCACGATTGTAAAACTACACCCAACACGCAAGGCCGGTGACAAAGCCCCATGGTGTCAGCCAAAGGGAGGACTGCAAAGTAAGAAGGAGGGTGCTCACGCAGATGTGATGGCCCGATACCGCTCCTGACCAGCAGTATCCCAGATTTGAGCCTTTATTGTCTTCCCATCCACCTGTGAGGAACGCACAATGTCATACAACGAGAAACACACGGTCTGGTTAGCACACATGTCTGGTACGAACAGGTCATCAGGAGAAATCCCATCAGCCAGCTGAGCCCAAAACATCATAAACAAAATGACCACTGTTTCACAAGTCATGATAAGGAATTGTGGTATCCATGCTGAACTTCAGTGAACATCATACACAAGGTGGCCTCTCCAGTTAAACCAACAAAATACATCACTGCATACCGATATACTTCTGGTCGCAAACTCCACACCAATGGTAGACTTGGACTCCAGGTTGAACTCATTTCTTGTGAAACGGGACAGCAGGTTACTCTTTCCCACACCTGAATCTCCAATTAAAACAACTGTAAACAAGATCAGAGTCTCATCATGCATGCAAAGTTAATGCACATATAAGATGACAGCCAAAAAAAGGTTAATTTAAACACAGTGCTCAACAAATCTCCAGCAACACAATGCAGTTTGTTCACACATCACATGAATTACAGCATGTAGGATTTACTCGGTCAAACACACTGACATTCCAAGTGACTTTCAACAATATCTAAGAAAACATTCTGATCAATTATTAAGAAATGCAACACAGGAAGTTTATATGATAACTCCTCTTTAAATTATGGCTAAGATATGATGAACAACTGGAGACTGTATTAATCTTACCTTTGAACAAATAATCATACTCATCATCTCTTGTGTTACTCATGTTGTGGTTTCACAGCAAACTGAGACACCCAATAAATTTGATGTCACTTAGGTGCCTGAGGACATCAGTTCAGCACATTATTCATAAGCACCATTTGCTGCAAATGTTGATACACCAGGTCAGAAAACCCATGGATAATTGTCAGTGACAATTTGGGTTAAACATTACTGAGAGGCAAACATTCCAAAATTCCCTACTGAGGTGTCAAGGATGCAAACACAAATTCATGCTTCCAGAATTCTGTCTCCTCAGCACCTAGATTTCACTGGCTGCCAACATGTTGCCCTTTGACCCCAGGCCCTGGAATTCTGGTCATGATCTTGTCTGCCTTTATCAAACCCCATTGCACCCAGATGCTGGTTAAATGCCACCTAGCTTCAATTCTGGTTGGCTGATGCTGAGCAAGCAAAGACAGAGTAGCAGCAGTGAACACCATATTGGAAGAAAGGCATCAATAAACATTCAAATATTTATACCTGAGTGCCCAAACATTGTATTAATGCAAGCACATGAATAGATATGAAATTAATGAAACACATTGTGAAAGGCTTCTTCCCCAAAAATGCATGGTAAGGCATCTGTTGACCAGAAAGAAGAAAGAACAGACATTGGAAATAATAGAACATTAGTGAAGTAATCTGCAGGAAATATCAATTCATGCATTTAACAATAACTTACAATGAAACATGCCAGGAAGCACAAGAGCAAACTAATCTCTCACATTCAACTGCACACCACCCAGTGGATCAAGATATCAGTCCAAGGGGCAGGGGATCTTCTAGTATCAGTCATAAGGACCTTGCATAGCTTTCCATTAATAGCAAGGCTACCAAATCCAGAGTTTGCCCTGACAGGAATACAGAACACAATGCCTAAAAACTCCGGGACCCTGTCAAATCAATATATATATCTGACAAACATCACAATGTTGCATTATACTTATCATATCACTAGCTAGACCAAACACATGATAGCATGCAAAATACAACTATGAGCATCTAACCCTAAATCTTGTACATGTACATAAATGCAATATAAATCCAGAGCCCTTTTCATACAGGACACATTTGTGTTGCTTAATGGCCATGCACACAGAGCACTTGGCACTTTCAGCAGCACAGAGCACTTTATTATCATGGATAAATATCATATCACAGGATAAAAAAACATGCATTTATTCTTTCAACAGTCATTAAATGGGTTTTAAGTGCATAATCCATGAATGATGTATCAACCTTTTCCGAACTATAAGACATACGCAATTCATGCCTAATATAAATATAATGTGCACTGAACATAACTTTAAAGTCGAGCACCACCAAATCTCACGCAGCGCGAGCAGATGCGACGATACTCCCCTAATGACCAGCACAAAGAGTGGAGACTTGTGGCGTTGTAGCCGGGGACAAAAGCGCCAGAAGCCACATGCCAAGCATCTCAATGTCGGTATACAAATGGAGCGCATAAACAAAGGGAAAAAAGAACATGCTTCCGATCGGGATATACCTGGCCTGTTCCGACTTCGGAAAGTCCAATTATATTGCAACAATTCACAACGAGATCCTCACACCCGCAATCCACCGTCGCAAAAATGGTGGTGCTGGTGACGCCCATGCGCATGCGCAGAGTGGAGCAGATTAGGCTTATTTCAGTGTACTAGATATGATGTCATTAGCCCCAAAATCTGAATGGGGTCGTCCACATATTAGCGCTACGTATTGAGGGGAAGGGGTTCTTGATTGAGCATAACATAGGCGTAACAAGGGAAATGGGAGGTTAGACAAGGTAGTGTTGCACTCAGGTAGGGTCGCAAATCATGTTTAAGGTTTTTCCTCATTTAAAACCCCACAACGAGATATCATTGGTCCACCCTCACAAGCAATACGTCACCCGTCTTTGTTTCACACCTTTAGGTCAATGAAGGGATAGACAGACGTTACTCTTCGTGGCCTTGCGGTTAGCACAGCGTAACCAGGTGGGGGGGGGGGGGGGGAGTATTTCACCCAGCTGCGCCCAACCAGAGAGGGGGCTATATGACCGAGCAGTCGTAGCTCCAGAAATCCTCCCAACCGGGAAGTGGGTTACGTGTCCAATATGACATAGCAATATTCATCACCAGACCCATAGATAACTTATCTCAGCAAATGACTAAGGATCTGCACCAAAAATAAAATGTAGTCTTATTCGACCTGGTCATAATTCATCAAGCCGCATTGAGCACCGAGCCCCGTGCGTTGGATTGGCAGGGACGGATGCAGAACGAGCGAACCCACCGCAAACCCAATATAATTTGCCGGCATGTTCCTTTGGCCGTCCAAGGAGCGTGATGCTCTGCAGCAAAAGACGCACTTGCTGTTGCGTGTCCCACATTTGGGTGCACGAGACTCCATAGCCCCTCTGAGTTCACATAGCCTCACGAGTTCACTCCATAGTTCCTCTGAGCATGACTTCACGGGCCCGGGAGCGCATGGGAGTCTGAGTAGTGTGACATTTCGTTCCCAAGCGCAGATTTCCTCCGCCCGTGCCTTCTGCTGGCACCTCTGGGCGACCTGGCCACGGTCTGCTCGAGTGGCCATTTGTAGTCAGTTCTCTTCAGCTCCTAAGCCACGGAGCGTCATTGTTCATGGCAACGACAAACCGTTGAAAATCGTAGATCTCCGGCACGGACGGCTACGTAGCGCACATCACCCCATCCCAGACCAGCGGCCAGCACGCAGAGCATACCATGTGCACGGAGTCGCCGCGCCACTATTCGCCGCACTAAACAGCTGCAACCGGACTCGCCGCTTTCACCGCCCAGCTGTCAGATATCGCGTGTATTGAGCATTTCGGAGCAGACACGTGGCCCAAGTTGAATGCAGACAATCGTAGGTCCTAAAAAATCTACCCGCGGGAAAGATGAGCCTATTCCTGCGACATAGTTTAACTTTACTACACCGGTCTTGAAAACGAAGCTGCACGAAAAAAGAGCAAAGATGCCCTAAAACATGTTTTACTATGGACCTAAAATACAAATATGGTGTAGATATAACCATATCTATGTCCAACCGTTATCACAGCTGTGATGAGTAAGTTGCATCGCGCTCGTAGTAGGCGTAGTACACAACGCATTGCACTTGACAACTGGATCATGTTAAAACACGTCATGCGCAAAAAAAGCTCCAAATTTTGTACTGCATGTGAGCTATGCTAGGTCACAATCGTGCAAGGGCAAGACCCAAGCTCAAAACGCAAACCATGTCACAGGCCATAAATGAATGATAACGAATGCGAGGTCTGGGCGGCATGAGAGGATTCAGCTCGACTGGCGCATGACAACCAGTCAAAAACGCTGCTCACACTCAAACTCACTCCGACAGGCTTAACGACGCAAGTCGGTTGCCACAGCACGACAGCTTCTTCGTCTTCAGGAGCGAGCATACGACGACCGCGGCGTGGAAGCGTACCACGGGCGTGGTGCCGAACGGTCCGTTCTACCAGCTAGACATCGCGCTCTCCACTCACACACACATCACTGCCGACACGGACGGAGGTTTAGGGCGTTTCACCGCCGGCGGACATCGCCAGCCCTCATATGCTCGTCTCGTTCACGTCGACTGCGGCACGCACGGCCTTTGGAGCCCACCGCCGGCCAGGGAGAGTCGTCAGCTAGTACAGAGGAGGAGGTTCATCAGCTGGGCTGCCCCCGCTGACGTCGGCGCGTCTCGTCTGACACCGCCGGTCCCGTGACGTCACCAGACGGGTCCCAGCCCGAGGCCTGCAGCTTCGGCACCGGGATATCGGCGGAGGGGCCGGCGCGGCTGGCCGCGGCGCCGCCGGCCGCCCCCGGGTCAGGAGCCGCGCAGGATGGATCCGCATCCTCATTCAGCTGGTCCTGAAACGACAGAGCAACGGAAGTGTCAAGAAGCGGCTCGCTGGCGGCGCTGACAGTGATTGGTGATGTGCTGCCGTTCCACACGGCTATTACTGGTGTATGGCTGTCCACCAGGTTCATCTGATGAGCACGTGCAACTAGCTAATGCACTGAAGGCCACGTCCTATGCTATTTTTAAAACATGCATCACAAATCTGATAAAACAAACACCAGACAATGGTACAGCAAATACGAAACACCGTGTCGGACCGCTACTTCGCGCGCATCTGATGAGCTAACGGCCGACGGGTGATGGCCCCCCCAAGCTGAGGTGACGCAGGGCATCACGTCTGGCGCCCGGAGCGACGTCCAGCCTGTGTCCCCTCACCCTGTGCTTGATGTACGAGAGGAACACGTCCCAGACGACGGTGACGACGTTGACGTACAGCACGCGGTACGGCTCAGGTACGTAGCGGAAGTTGATCCACTGCGTGGGCGGCCAGATGGCCCAATCAAACTGCGGGCGGAGGGCGGTCGCGTGAGGGCCAACGGACGTGACGTTGTGTCGCCGCTGTCACGGACCAGCCCCCGTGCCACCGCTGTCGCGGACGAGCCCCGGTGCCGCTGCTGCCACGGACGAGCCCGGTGGGCTGCAAGGATTTGACACATTGGGCGCAGTGTAGCGATAATCGACTTGACCATACAGCCTGCAGGGAGTCGAGCCCGTGGCAGCCATGGGCCCGAAGATCAAAGGCTAACGTCCAATCCACATCAAAGAAATCCAATTAATACAGTGGGTCTGTGACTGAAGCCAACACACTACTGAAAAGAACAGCTGCAAAATCAATGAGTGCATTGGAAACTCCTTTGCATGTCACTAGGGTCCACGCCCGGACCTATCTTACTTGACCACATAAAACATCGACTTGCGCGGCCAAGCCGGTCGCCATGCCTTCTGGGATAAGATGCCTTTTCCACAGCAGTCAAATCTAGAAAAGTGTTAAGAAGCAAGAAGAACACCTCCTTGGAAGTTGCGCCGTGTCAGTTTTGCCGCAAATGAACACAAGGGGTATCGGTCACGGGTGTTTTTTTTTTCTACAACGTTGCAACATAGCAAAGTGTGACTGGTATCACCTTCCTCGTGAGTTTAGCATGGACAAATGTAAATTTACCACTCGCGAAAGTCTGCATAACGCGGGTCGTAAATGGGCCCGGACCTCACCAACACGGCATCGCAGCCTCTCGAAACAGCCACTGCTTGGGGCGGTGTACGTACTACCTCTAGGTCTCGGACCCCGCGGCTGATAAAGACGTGGGACCAACTGCACGGTGCATGTAAATGTGCACTGTATGGATAACTACACTATCTCAACATCCATAGGCGTGACAGTAATTTACTTCGAGCGACCAGGGTCAGCTTTTTCGAAGCGTGTCTCGGATACGACACGCTGTGGCTAAACCGATTGAGTATGAACCACGAGAACTCTACATCCATATGAACCCGTTCACTGACTATATCCACTCAACATTGCAATTTTCGCAACGATTTGCCTAAAGCCAGAAGAAAACCGTATTATCGGAAATTACCGCTTTTGTCAGCTGAAACGGTAAGGTGTGGCAAGACCCGTCTCTAGACATTTGCCAAGCGTGTCGTATGTGAGCGAATGAACGCCGCAGAAGTGGATGTCCACATCCTGGTAGCACATTAAAAACGGAACTTGCCACAATGTATCACTGATCGAGCCAACTTGGCAAGGTCCATTACGATATCTGACCCCATTAGTGCGAAACACACCTAAACGACCACCCATATCGATGTGTGGGAGTTCTGAACATTCGAATTACAGGGACTACGCGTTTCACCGTTAGTGCCCCCCCCCCCCCCCTCCCCATATATTACAATGTCCCCAACTCCGCGGTAACCTTCCCCTAAGCTCAAAGCCAAGCCAGCCACAGGTCCCTTTAAGACCCCAGCCAGGGACAGTACCGCTGCAGGTCACAAGGTTAGCACCGCCCTGTCACTGACCAGGTACACCTCCGGGAACTTCATCTGAAACTCTTGCAGACTGCGCGCCACGGTGTGGCCCTCCAGCAGCCCAGCGCCCAGGAAGAAGGTGACGGCGAAGAAGGGCGCAGCCACCAGCTGGTCGGCCAAGATCTTGAGCCGGACAACGCGGCCCGAGCGGCCAGGCAGCCACCGGTCCAGCCATGTGTACCACAGGTGGTGTGGTGGGCCCTGGCTCAGGCCCACAGCAAACATCCGGCCTGTGGGGGTGACACAGGGTCTGGGCTGGTCTGGGCCTGTATTCATGCATGGCTGCATAATCATGCCCAACCAGGCACAAATGAACTCAAGCAAAAACATATCATGGTAGTGAGGAGCTTTCAATGGCAATAGGGCCAGGTCCCTGATAAGTAACAAAATGGACACCTATTCGTGACTCAACTATGCATGTGCATATTCACCCAAAATGCAGGGTAACATAAAGGTCAATCACTTAAGGGCAGCAAATAATAGTTCTCAGCATTGTGAGAGATGGAACAGAAACAGGCTTCAATTTGTACATTTAGCCTAAAATCTTACTTCAACTGATTTTTATCTTCATAACATGTTTTACCTTGAACCTAAGGTCTTGACCACAAGTCAAGATGGATGCAGATGAACAGGCTCACAGCACAAGAAATCCTAGAGATAAGATCAATGAGACCCTTACCAGTACGCTTCCAGTTATAGTGTTCCTCAGCGTGCACTCCACGTTGGAACTCCAGAAGCTGTTGTATACCATCCCCAGCAGCCAGCAAAGCCCCACAGCTGACAGTGTTGGTCAGCCAGAGCCGGCGACCAAACAAGGCACCCAGCAGGCCCATCACCTTGCCTTGTAGTGACACAGTTAGTCTCACTGCCCTGGGTCAACCTCTGGTTCATCACTCCAACATAAAGCCTCTGACCTGGAATGTGATAATGGTTGAGATTGAACACAGGTTGGTAATGTTTGCAAACATGTCATTTGGCAGCCCCCAACCACCTATCAAACTAAATATTCAAATGTTATCCAAAATGCAGACAGTGTCCAAAGCACCCAGTTAGCCCATGAGCACCACAATATTCCAAGTAAGCTCCATCACCACCAGACAGCCCAAGTTGCCTTGCATTAGTCATCAAGCCAGGATAAATCCTCTGATCTGGCACACCAAACTGGTTGATAAAAATGAATGTAACACCCATTTTAAACATAATATAGCTTGTGAAGACTGGATGCAACTGGTCACCAACACTCTGAGCGCTGGCCATCCGAAAAAGATCGTACATAGCTACCAGGTGGGCATGTACCCGTGCAACAACCATGGCTTGTAAAACTCATGCATAATCGTTACTTCCAAGGCTGTCTAACGCTTACACCCTAGTAAACTGCTTACGTTTGTGTATGGAGCTGCCGGCCACATGCCAGGGAAGGGGGCTGCGACCAAGAGACCCCCCCGAGACGGATGAGATGGGCGCGATAACCGCACCAGATCGCCTGACCCAATGCCCTAGAACAGACCCGTGACCTGCACCAGCCAGCAACCGTGCGCGCGGCACAACTCGCCAATGCATCATTGAAACAAATGCGTCATTTTCGCTGTACCGCTGTCAAATACGAAAAGCAGCTGCAAAGAAATGTCCTAAGCTTGCACAAGCTCCACTTGACCCTGGGCGGTTTGCGGCGGGGTGCTCGTTGTGATATTTCGAGCATCGGGTGCATAACTTACACCGTGATGGAAGAGCTTACTTGTTGCATCTCTCTATTTCATCGAAAAATACAAAACTGCACCGCAAGAAGATGGGGGAGTAATCATCGAAGAATTTCGGATCAGCAGCTTGGTGCTGAATATAACCTGGACGTTACTTTTTCACCTGGTGAGCCATGTGCATCGCGATTGGCCTTATAAATTGTGTGACCATTGTCACTCAGAAAACATGATCATTTGTATCAATCCATGATTTGTCTGATCACCATGATCCTGTATGATACTAACACAGACATAGGGGCCTTGCTCCTGGCCAGTCTGCAACAAAATCCATCCACTGTACTGGACACTTATGTGACATCACTGTGTTGATCATCATACTGATCTACGCTAAACTGAGGCCAGGCGATATTATTCTAAATTTCTAAATTGTCTGCATGAACATAATTTCAGTGTTTTTGCCTGGAATTACCTTTGCAACATCATAGTTCCTTGGAACATTTTTATATATATGCTGGAATTGGTGGCTGTGCACCCAACACTTAGTGCTTAGATTTACAGTGTGCAAGTACGAAAACATTTTTCAGCACCGTTGATCTGAAGCATCTCCATGTAGTTGCGACATTGTAACCCACAATGTATATATGCTTATTGCATGTCCCAAACAGAAATTGATGGTTTGATGTGTGCCTGATAGCAGTTGTCTTTTTCAGAGTGGGAATGGTTCAATGTCAGCAGGCCCCTTGAATATGCATCTGACTTGGATGACAAGCTTGTAGTGCTTGATTTTTTCACCTACTGCTGCATCAACTGTCTTCACGTCTTGCCATCGCTTCACCAGCTGGAAAGAGATCACTCCATTGAAGATGGCCTTGTTATTGTAAGTTGTTGTCTTTGTTTATTGCATGATATGCTATGTTAGAGGAAATAAGTGGCCAAATGTTCTTATGATGAAATGTGATTTTAGTTCCCAGATTGACAAGCCAGACCATTCCTGTTAATGGTTTCAGTGATGAAATAAAGGAACTATAAACAACTTGTAAAGATATTGTAAGGTCATATCTTGGTTGTATTGTTTCATTTGTGGTCATTCATATCTTTATGCCTATTCTGATGCACAGATCTGCTGTCCACATATTTGTATGCTATGAGCATCCACATGCTGTGCCTCTCCATGGTCCCCTGGACCCACAGTCAGCTGGACCAGGGGCATTCCACAGCGGGTGAGGGACTCGCGCCGCCCTCCGCGCCACCACCGGCGGCGACAGACGGAGCAGCCGTCTGACGCGCGCGTCCGGCGGCGTGACGTGGCTGGCGGCGGGTGCGTCTTCGGGCCAGCGTTGTCCCGGCAGTGGCGGCCAGGACGGCGCGCACCGCCGCCGGCCTGAAGCGGCGGGGGCTGCCGGCCAGTGCATCGGAGAGCGCATGTGGACGCGGAGATGGTGCTGACGCGGTGTCAAGCACCGGGACGCTTCTGTAACTGGCGGACAGTTATTGGAGAGTCCGTGTGGACGCGGAGATGGCGCTGACGCGGTGTTCAGGCACCGGGACGCTTCTGTAACTGGCGGACAGCTTATCGGAGAGTCCGTGTGGACGCGGAGATGGCGCTGACGCGGCGTCAAGCACCGGGACGCTTCTGTTAACTGGCGGGCAGTTTATCGGAGAGCCCTGTGGACACGGTGATGGCGCTGAACCGGGACGGGGCTGTAACTGGCGGCCAGCGCCTATGGACGGACGGCCGAGTTGGCCAAGTGAGGCGAACCCCGATGCCACGAGGTCTGACGGTCACCTTTCCGGCGGCGGCAATGGGATTTCACCCTGGGTCGTGGTCTGAACAGCTGACGGTTCCGGGGAGACCGGCGATAGGATCGCTGTTATCCTGTTCCTGATGCGCCGCTCGTGCCCACTGCCCGCCGCTCAAATTCTGCAGAAACCTCTGTCTGATTTCCTGACTCATGGGTCCGCAAGTGTGAGCATGATCGGAACCCATTCGCCTCAGTGCGCGCAGCGTGCGTGCGTGCGTGCGTACGTGCGTTGGGGGTGCCGTGTGTGCATGCTTGTACGTGTGCGTGTGAGCGTGCGTGTGCTCGTGCGTGTGCGTGTGATACGGTGGGCAGCAGTGGGATGACCCGGACCGAGCGTCCGTCGGCCGGACAGCCGTCTGCCCTGCGCTTCAGAGCGAGCCGGCGCCGGGTGCGCTGACTCGTCCCGGTCGCCGCAGGTCGGCGTCCACTCGGCCAAGTTCGACAACGAGCGCGTGTCGTCCAACATCGCGGCGGCGCTGCAGCGGTACGACATCGCCCACCCAGTGGTCAACGACGCCCAGCTGGTGCTCTGGCGGCGGCTGGAGATCGCCTGCTGGCCCACGTTGGTCATCCTCGGTGAGCTTCCCGCGCAGCCGCGACCTACTCCGCTGGCGCCTGGGGCTCAGAATGGTCACGGCTGAAGTCTTCTGGATCGGGTGGATAGGTGCTGGTTTATGGAGAAGTGCTGCCAATGGTTTTTGTGAATGCAGGCTCTATGGTACCCTGGATTAGTGCCTGTGGCTGGTCTGTTGGTCTGCTGATACCAGACGCGGTTGCACGGACCGCTGCACCCACGTCTTGGTAGCCGTCCTCTGGCGTCGGACTGCGACGGACGTTGCTGGGTGTGTGACGCCGCGCACCGCCCGCCTGCGCCAGGTCCGGGCTGCCGACCCCTGCTGCTGCTTGTCGGGGAGGGCCACTCGGCTCTGCTGGGCCGGTTCGTCTCGGCTGCGCTGCGCCGTCTGCGCGGCCGGCTGGGCTCCGGCAGCCTGCCGCTGGCGCCGGCCGCCCGGCCGCCCGTCGCCCGCCCACTCCGCTTCCCCGGCAAGCTGTGCCGGCTGGACGCGCGCCGGCTGGTGCTCAGCGACTCCGGCCACCATCGCCTGCTGGTCACCGACAACAGCGGCGCCGTGCTGGTGCGTGCTGCTGGGCGTGCTGGTCGCCCGGCCCGCCACACCGACAGCGGTGTGCCGCGTTTCAGGAGCGCAGTTCGTCAGTCTTAATACAAACGCTTGAAGTGAAGAAATGCATCACCGCTCAGGGATAGGGAGTCTATGATGATTATGTGTGTGCGTGCGTGCGTACGTACGTGCGCGTGCGCGTGCATGTGCGCTTGCATATGTGTGTGCATATGGGCAGGGGGGGAAAGGTCCATTTTTTAAGTAACATGTCAGGAGTGACGACAATTTTATCCTGCAGTTGGATAGGAAATACCAGATTTTTCTCCAATATTGTGGGAAAACACTGGTCCCTGGCCTCACGGCTCCAGTCCGCTTGTCGCTGCCTTCGGAGCGGCCCTACTAACATATGTGGTGTTGCCCACAAATGCGTTCTCGCCTGCAGCACGTGATCGGTGGTCCAACCGCCGGCTTCCTTGACGGCAAACTGGGCGAGTCCAAGTTCAGCAGTCCGCAGGGGGTGGCCGCAGACGGCGACGTCATCTACGTGGCGGACACGGAGAACCACGCCATCAGAAAGGTGCGTGTCCGATAGCTCGCTCGAGTTGCCGTTCCTTCCACTCCATCGCTGAAGCCCGTCGTCACAGTATCCATTGGGTCGGTCTGGTCGCGTCAAGCGCGCGCCTCTGTGAGGCCGCCGCGGGATATAGGATATGCTGGATGTCGTGATTCTCGAGCGGACCTGCCGGCGAGCCTGGCGGTGGCCCTGGTTCCCGACCGTGGCCCCTGACTCTGCGCCTCGGTGGACCCTTGGTCAGCGCCTCGAGACGCCGGCTCGTGACGGGCACCTGCTGCGCCCCAGGTGGACCTGCAGGCGGGCCTGGTGGAGACGCTGGCCGGCACCGGTCAACGGGGCGACGACCTGGAGGGCGGCGGCGTCGGCAGGGCGCAGGTGCTCGCCTCGCCCTGGGACCTCTGTCTGGTCGGTGACCGGCTCTACCTGGCCATGGCCGGCTCGCACCAGATCTGGGCCTTGTTCCTCCGCGACGGCACGCTGTTCGGCAAGCGGTGAGGCGCGGCGGGCACGGGCACGGGCACGGGCACGGGCACGGGCACGGGCGCGGGCACGGGAACGGGAACTGTTTCGAGTACCGGGACGGGACGTATGCCGAGTCAGCAGCTGCCGTAGGACACCTGCACTCAGCCGCGACGGGTCACTGAGCCCTGCTCATGTACTCAAAACAAGGATACTCGGCTAGTGAGACTTCAGTTCGGTTCGGCTTTTGACTCGCGCCTCATCCAGCGCCGTAGGTGATGTTCTCCACTACCCTGCCCGACTTTGAACGCGTGGCATTCCACTTGCGTCTGTCGGGTTCTGATCGTGTACCCCCCCCCCCCCCCCCATCAGCTCTTGCCTGTTTCTGACGGCATCTCGATGTCCCCGTCTAGCTTTGACCGTGTATCCCTCCTTCACTGCCCGTGCCCGGCTCTGACCATGTACCTCTCTCCGCAGCCCCTGCCCAGCTCTGACCGTGTGCCCCTCTCCGCAGCCCCTGCCCGGCTCTGACCTCGCACCCCTTCCCCACTACACCTGCCCGGCTCTGACCGTGTGCCCCTCTCCGCAGCCCCTGCCCGGCTCTGACCGTGTGCCCCTCTCCGCAGCCCCTGCCCGGCTTTGACTTGCACCCCTCTCCGCAGCCCCTGTCCGGCTCTGACCTCACACCTCTTCCTCACTGCTCCTGCCCGCCTCTGACTATGTGCCCCTCTCCGCAGCCCCTGTCCGGCTTTGACCTCGCACCCCTTCATCACTGCTCCTGCCCGGCTCTGATCGCGTACCTCTCTCCGCAGCCCCTGCCCGGCGGGCACCTGTCTTCGTGTGGCCGGCTCGGGCCAGGAGGAGAACCGGAACAACTCGTACCCGCAGCGAGCGGCATTCGCGCAGCCCTCGGGCCTGACGTGGGACGCGGCCGGCGCGCGCCTCCTGGTGGCCGACAGCGAGAGCTCCAGTGTGCGCCAGGTGGCGCTGGCCGACGGCGCCGTGCGGGCCGTGGTCGGCGGCGCTCGGGACCCCACGGTACGCTGGCCGCCGGCCGGGGACGGGGGGCGGAAGGGGGCTGGGATGGGGATGTTACGGCAGCTTGTATAACACCCTATGAGGCCATTCCGCGGTAATTGGATTGTCCCTGGACGTTAGCCAACACGTACATCGACAATCCCAACGCGACAATCACAAAATAAACACAGACATATATGAGAGCCGATTGTAACGAAATTGCGCCGAGCGGCTCGTACTCTCGCTTGTCCAGCTTATGTTCTCGCACGCTGCTAATCGGCCTGCTGACAGTGGCGGCGGGTGATGGGCGCAGCGGGAATGCTTTAACAGGGCCTTATTTACGTCCCAAAGCGTCACCCACGTACTATCGTCTTGTCCCGTCAGAGTCTCCTTTTACCGAATAGGCTGTCCGTGTTACTGTTTGTCACTTGTCGCGACAGGTGTGAATTCACCAGTGGAATGCGTACGTGCGCCAGAGCTGCTTGTGGACGTACAGATTGTGTTGTTGGAGACAGATAACCCGCGGTGGGGGGGGGGGGGGGGGAGAGGAGCCCAGACTGCATTGTCTCAGGGTTTGAATCCGGGAGTTGGTCTTGGTGGCGTGAAGGGCTTAGGCGACCCTCTCCGCAGCAAAGTGTTCTGGTGGGCGATGACCGTGTGTGGGCGCGTCCACGTTTGTCTCCGGCACGCCGACCGTGTGACCTTCAGGCGCCAGTCGAGCTCCGCTCTCCGGCCCGTGTCCCCCCCCCCCCCCCCCTCATCGAGCAGTGCCTCGCTCCCCTGCGGTGTCCGACTCCCCAGCGCCGGCCGCTGACTTGGCCGCCTCCGTAGAACCTGTTCGAGTTCGGCGACGTGGACTCGGCGGAGGGCCCCGCGCGGCTGCAGCACCCGCTGGGCGTGGCCTGGAGCGCCGCCGACGCGGCCCTGTACGTGGCCGACACGTACAACCACAAGCTGAAGCTGGTGCTGGCCGACGGACGGGGTTTCAGCTGCCGCACGCTGGCCGGCTCGAGCCGCGGAGACCAGACTGGACCGCTGCTGGAGGCCCAGGTAAGCGTGCCGGCCGCCGGCGCCGACGCCGGGAACTGGTGGGGTGGTGGGACGATCGTCACACCCATCGTCACACCCACATCGTCCCTCCCCTTGGGGGGGGGGGGGGGAGGCGGAGGATGTGGATATGAGAGTGGTAGGATTGGCGAAATGGCCGGTTTTGCAGTACTTTGTGTAATACTTTCTGCGGAATCTAGTGGTATTGCAACGCAGGAATTGCGGTTAGTTTGTTGGTAGTTGTGGAATGCACAAAATCTGCACCTAGTTTACCCGTAAATGTCGCAGTGGGAGGCAAATCGATAGTATTCGACATGGTACACTGCCTGATTCAGGCGACGAATCGCTTGTAAACTAGAGCCTGAGCTGATGTGGCATGTCGGGCGTGATTTGTGGACATGCGTTTTGTCAGGTGCTTTTATTTTGCGTGATCGATCGCATACAAACGTAAACAATAAGCTACTATTCCTGGTTTGGCTGACAGCCGTCGATTGCTGCGTTATCTGAATAACATACCGCGCAGACTTCTGATGACGCGACGTTGACCTGTCCTTCTCCATCAGCAACAGACAGACCAGCCACCGCCAGGCTGGTCTGTCTGTCTGGCGTCTGGCGTTGCTCAGACACCTGTTGTATTGTGCCTTCCGAAGCCGTGTCATGTCGCCGTCATACAGCCGCGCTGTTCCGTTGCCAGTTTAACGAGCCGGGCGGCCTGCTGGCGGAGCCCGCCGGCGATCGGCTGCTGGTGGCCGACACAAACAACCACTGCATCAAGCGGGTGGACCTGGCGACCGGCACCGTCGATGAGGTACGCCTACCAGCCAGCCCCGCGCCGCTGCCGGCCGCGCGCCGCTGCCGGCCCGCGCCGCTGCCGGCCCGCGCCGCTGCCGGCCGGCCCGCGCCGCGCCGCTGCCGGCCCCGCGCCGCTGCCGGCCCGCGCGCCGGCCCGCGCCGCTGCCAGCCCGCGCCGCTGCCGGCCCCGCGCCGCTGCCGGTCCGCGTCGCTGACAGGCCCACAGCGCTGCCGGTCCCGCGTCGCTGATGTCTTACCGGGCCAGGAAGCGCGGACGCTGAGAGCGGTCGTGCCAGTACCCCTAGCGTCTCCCCAGACGTGCAGCGAAACCACTGCGCCACGGGCGCCCCGACCTTTTGCTGGTGCGCCACGTGCGAATTTCTTGATCATCAGAACCGGCATTTGTGTCGCCTGTTCTTGGGCGACGCCCGTTGTCTAGTATCGTCGGTGATCTCATGCGTCTGCTGGATGGCTCGTACGCGCACTGTAGCAAATGACATGGATTGCTTAGATGACGCTGATTTCGCATGGAACTTCCGTGTCTGCGTACTTCTATCAAGCAAAGTAGGTAGGAGCTGCCTCGCTCGCAAAACTCCGTGAACCTCTAGGTAAACATGCCAGGTACGCAGACTTGGCATGGCCACCTTATGTCTATCGCCAACGTCGTCAGCCACATGCGCGTATGCGCTTACGTAGGACCTGGTGTGTGATCGTGGCTTTTGTGTTTCAGCTTGATGTCCGGATGACGCGGGATTCACCAGATCGGCCTACCCAGGCTGTCACATCGTCCGCAACGGTGCGATCAGCTGTGGCGCATCTCTTTAAGTCTAGAGTACTGCTGTCTGGTGTGTCCCTGACAGAAGGCGCTCCGCACAGCTGGCGACTGGACCATTACGTGAGTATATGCCGAAGAGAAGTATGAGCAAATGCAACTACACTGCGCCTACCTGACAATGCTGTCAAATATCTTACTTAGTCACTTTGTGAGTGCTCTGACCTGGTGCGTGAGCGGTGTGTGACCTGACGTTGTCCGCGCTCTGCAGCCTCCGGCTGGTCGGCAGCGCCAGCCGGCCCGTTCTCTGTACCGCTGACTGTGCAGCTGCACGCGCCGCCGCTGCGCTCGGGGGACGCCGTCCGACTCCGCCTGCACGCGCAGCTCTTCCTGTGCTCGCCGGCCGGCCTGTGCTTCCCGCGCGAGCTGACGTTCGAGCTGCTGGTGGAGGGCGACGAGCAGGCGCCGGCCGGCGCGGCGGCGGCGCTGCGCTGCCGGCTGGAGGCCGCTGAGATGGGCGTCTGAGCCCGCCCCGTCGGCGCGCCGGCCGGCCGAGGGTGGCGTCCGTCTCGCGGGCCCTGGCCGGCCCCTCAGCCTCGGCCGGCGGCCGCGGTTCGCGTCTCTGCGGATGGGTGCCGTACACTCCGAAGCGTATGTGTTATGCGGGTGCTCGCTGTCAAGCTGATGCACTCATATGGCCATATTTTGTACTGTCATTCCGATGTGTAGTCCAATAACTAATGGCCTCTTGTTAGTTGTTAAAGAGTGTTTGAATTTTAAGTCGTGCTCCCATGCTTGATGCTTTTTTACTGATCCCGTGATCACGGTTCTTAACGGTTGGTGGAAGTAACAGACGTCGTATTGCGTACCGTTGCATGGCCCATTGTGTCTGGAGTCGCGTTGAGTCAGTCTTGGTAGGATGTTCAGCTAACACTGCCTACTGCGCGGGAAATTGTGGATTAATTTGACCAGAATGAAACCTTAATGATCTACAATACATTGACTACTCGTGCCTTCGTCTTAGTTGTGGTTTTTCATGGCGTGTTATCCAGGAACGATACTTTCCTTAGAACTGGTTGTGGGAAAGATTTAAGTGAATGTTCTTGACTTGAAGATATTGAATCAAGCGTCAGATATGATGAAATAGGCTCGCTCATAACTGTCGATATTCTTTTAAGTGGAACCTGGACCACTTGTTAAACAGAAGTTGTATTTTGCCTTCCAAAGACATTCTTTCCATGCATCGCCATAGGCCTTACGTTAAAATATGAAGTTGGGGGAAAAGGGGCACGCCTTGTGCCTCAAACGTCCACAGTTACACGCCTGGTGCTTTTCTTCGGCTTTGATCACGGTGTCTGGTGTCTTACCTGTTCTACCTGGTGTCTTTGTGTCTGGTGTTTTGCCTGGTGTCTTGCCATGCTTTGATCACAGACAATTATTATTTCTCCTTTTAAAAGGCCACAATACCATGACGTTTCACGATGTCTCTGCCTGATTGGCCGCCAAATGAGCCCTGTTGGTACGGTCCCGGGACCATCACTTGTTTGACTGATGTGTTTAGGGGACGGGGACGGCGCAGTTGATAAAACAACACAACTACGGTGCGGATTGAGGCTAAGCTGCCGGCTCAGTGTTTCGTCGACTACGGCAACCGGCGAGGCTGGTTGTTGGGGTGAGTTATTAAGGAAATTAGTTGCGTCGCTAATTATCCCAGACAAGTTATTTGTGACGTCTTGGCGCTGCGAATGCTGAGCTTACGTGGATCATGCTTCAGGTGCCTTTCGTTTATCGGTATTGCGCATTCTTGCCAATGATTACATGCGTAACGAAAAGGCCCTCCTCATCGGCTCGTGAGAATGTTCTCTTTCGGCTTACTGTAAGCGGCCTGTCTTCACAAAGCCTTGCTGACAATACTCCAGCAATTGAGAGGCTTCGAGACACGATGTCAATTGAAACACCACGCTACCGGCCGCCAGCCACAGCCTGATGTCTCCTGTAGTCTGCACTCACGCGTGCCTTGCTAATGGTTGTCCAACTGCTCAGTTGTCCGCCAGGTGCTCCATTACCGAGTCAAGACGTCCTGAGCTCACCCCGCTTTACCCGCTCTTCCGCGCCCCGCCAGCCAGGCCGTCCACGCGAGTATTTTATTACAGCTACGGCTAGACATACATACGGTGGATGCTGACTACATCGACTCTAGCGCACGGCGAGCGAGCCGGGGGGAGGGGCGGGCGGGCGCCGCGCTCACCCGCCCTCTCCCCGGCCTTAAATATAAAAACACTGTTAGACTGACGAAGGTAGCTGTCGACATTGGCGCCGCGGCCTCGGGCCCACGGCCCGGGACACGTCCTCCGAGAGGAGCCGAGCCGCGCGTACCGTGTCCTCCGAGAGAGGCCAAGCCGCGCATACTGTGTCCTCCGAGAGGACACGTTCGCGGAACGAGCCGCACACACCACGTCCTCCGAGAACAGAGGCTCGTGGGACGAGCCGTGCGCACGGCCGTCATCGGGAGACGGCCAGGTAAGCGCGCCGCGCGAGACGTCAACGCTCTCCAGAGGCTTACCGAGAGCGCCTTATGACGAGAACATTGTTTACGGCGTCCCATGTGGCAGGCCAGTGGCCTCTGAACAGCACTCGGTCCCAGTTCTTCCCCATGGGGCATCCGAGGAGCACTCTGATCTCAGTTCTTTCCAATGGTGGCATCTGAGGAGCACTCTGCCCTCAGTTCTTTCCCATGCGGCCACGTGCGAGGGAGTTCTGAAGATCTTCCGAGGAGCACCCAGCACGGGCAATGGGCAGGCGCCAGCATGCGTGACAGCAGGCTAGTGGATCCGATCTTAAAGCTGAAAATTGCAATGCACAGCTGCTTGTCCGAGCTGGTGGCACCGGGGACAAAGGCGCGCGCGCGCACGATAAATATCCAATTTGAACGATTGCCTCAGCTGCTCCGAGTTTGGCACACGTACACGGAAAGGGCCGCGGCGCCGCGCACACCCAACACGTAGTAGAGAGTTAATATCATCGGGCACGCCGCCGAGACGCGGGCCGCGGGCCGGCGCCGGCGCGGCCCGCACTGCCGGCCCGTCGACAGGTGGCGCCGCTCGGCCGGGCGCCGGACGCCCCGCCCTGCTCGGCCATAGCCCGTCCGACCGCCGGCCACGCCTACTGGCACTTCTTCCGCCGGCGGCAGCGGCACTTGCGCGCCACCGGCACCACCTTGCGGTAGCGCGTGCCGTCGTTGCAGATGAAGCTGACGCGCCGCTGGCGCACGCGGCGCGGCTGGCAGCAGTCGCGCCCGCAGCTGCCGACGCAGCGCGCCTGGCGCACCGGCCGCCGGGAGCGGCAGCCGTTCTCGCGGATGTAGTCGCGGTTCTGCTCGCGGCGGCAGCGTGGCGCTGACGACAGACGGACCGACGGGTCAGCAGGCGACGCGGCGGTGGCGGCCGTGACGGCGGCGCTCCGCTTGTGAGAGGTTATGTCAGCTGCCGTCGACATTGAAATAACGCCAACTCCGAGCGCGGTGTGCATGATTCTTTTTCTCCAACAGATAGTCCCCCACGTCCATATGGTCCATATGGTGGTCCATATCGTCTATATGGTCCTTATATATATATATATATATATATATATATATATATATATATATATATGTATATATATATATAATACATAATACTCATGTTCTTTGCAGTTGCATGTTCTGATGATTAAGGCTATGATTGCGGATAATTAAGGGCAAATTTCGGTCTTCATCGTTTTCTACAGAGGTGGTCGAAGACCGAAACGTTCACAAAAAGGGTGTCACTGAGTTAAACACGATTGGCTTTGACAGCAATTACGCATATCTACTTCCTTTACAAAACGACGGAAATGTCTTGACACTAGCAGACGACCAGCCGTGACCATCCGCCGGAGTAAGAGGTTTACCTCTGTCGCAAAGTTTTCCGCTCCACCCTCGCTTGCACTTGCATCGGTATGTGTTGCTGGACTTATTGGGAACACAGCGTCCCCTCTTGCATCTGCGAGAAGGGGGAATATGAAAACCGCGGACTAAATACGGATGACAAGTCAAGCACATGTTTTTAAATCGCCAAAACATCTGTAAGTTCAACTCTGGGAATCTGGCCACATTGTTGATTGATTGCCAAGTTTACTAAGTGCGACCCACACGACAACCTGCTCTCTTTCAAAGCGCGGACGTCAATCCCCGCGCTGCCTCATACACCAATCAAAGCACATCCCCCGCCGATTCCCCCCCCCCCCCCCTCCCCCACGCCCGTTCATCCCCGCACCTGGCCGCGTGGCGGCCGGTCAGCGGCAGCACGTACTCGTTGTCGGCGCAGAGGTCGCTCGTCTGCTCATCGCGCGGCTGCTGGATGCCGCCGCAGCCGGGCGTCACCTTGTGCCGCTGGCTGGCCCGCTGGAAGTCGATCCAACGGTCGTCCACGTACAGCGCCGTCAGACACCCTGGCGGCGCCCGGCGAAACCATGGTCAGCGGCGGCGAGTCGGGTGCATCAAACAGAAGAAGCATGTAGGGGCATGAACACACGAGCAAACCAAACACAGCGGACAATGTCAGTGGATGATAACATAGGATATACATGGGACATTGGACAGTGGACGTACATAGGACATTCCGCTGACGGAAGCGGGTGGCTTATTGAGACACTCATTTAATCAATACTAAGTGCTCGAAAGATAACTAAGACCTTGCCTTTAATTGTTAAATCGTATTACCGGAGCCAAGGCAACCTTCTAGTAGGAAGATTACATGCGCTATCGTCGGCGTCGCCTTACGCAAAGCGAGCGGCGAGCCCCCGCCACCCCGCCCTCCTCCACAGCCGGCATCTGCCGGCCGTACAGCGCACCTCTGAAGCTGGTGGTGTTGCGCAGCTGCCAGTGGCGCACGGCGAAGGTGCCCTTCTCGGGCGGCAGGCCTCCGATGAAGAGCGGCGCGGCGGGGTCGAGCGCGCCGCGCTCGGACGGGTTCACGATCGGCCGCGTCAGGCCGCCGTCGACGCGGAACGTGAAGTTGGCGCCGTCGGTGAGCATCTCCACCTTGTGCGGCCGGCCGTCGGAGAGTACCTGGTGCCGGGAAGCGGTGGCGGTCAGGACCTCGGCCCGGCGGGGGAGGACGGACGAGCGGGTCACAGACGAAAGCAGCGGCGCGGCAAGCCGCGAGGTCTTGACGTCTGGCCCACACCGTGCCCCAGTGATTAGCTAAGATATAAGTGCAGATTCGCGAACCCATCAACATCCGCAACTTTCGATACATTGGTCTCCAAATGGCCCGAAGTTGGCTCAATCTTTCAAGACACCACCCCACATCACCCTTACTCCGCCACCACCACCGCCGTGTTCCCCACATCCCGCATGCACTCTCACCCCGAGACTGAACATGGTGTAGCCGGGCGAGTTGCCGAGGTCGTAGCTCACGCGCAGCCGGCCCTTGAACAGCTCCACGGCCAGGTGCTCGCGGCCGCCGCGGTACACCACGACGCCGTTCTTCTGTCGGCTGCGCAGCAGCACCGTCACGTTGCTGTGCTGTGTCGACTTGGGCGGGTCCAGCTCCACGTAGGCGTCCGCGTGCGCGAACGTCAGGCTGGTCAGGTGCTCACAGTATTTGCCTGCGGGCGAGGTCAGCGCGCGGGGTCAGGAGCGGGCACCTGGCTGGGGCGCCCGCCTTTGCATCGGACGGCTCATGCTCGTTTCTCGCCTCAGGAAAGTTAAGCTGACGCCGTTGCTAAGAGAAGAGAACTCGATAGATAAACTAAAAAGGTCGGGGCAGTCCTTTCCAGAATTGAATCCAACCTCCTCAACGCGGACGACACACCATCGCGGTGAAGCATCGCTCGGGGCCCCAGTGTTTCACCGGGCTCTGCTGCAGACAGACGCACGCCGCCGGCGCCGCTCGCCGACCGCAGCGCACCTGTGTAGCCCTCCTGGCAGCGGCAGCGGTACTCCTGCGAGTCGCGCGGCAGGAAGCAGGCGCCGTGCTTGCACTCGTTCTGCTGGCACGGTGACGTCTGCTGCATGAGCGCAATCGACGGCCCCTGCTCGCAGAACTGGCCGGCGAACCCGGCCGCGCACCGGCAGGAGTAGCTGTCGGCGCCGTCCACGCAGGTGGCGCCGTTCTGCGGACAGAGCGGGAAGCACGGCTCAGTCGGCGGGCAGGGAGTGGCGTGAGCGCAGGCCGGCAGGCGCTGCGGAGCTCACCCTACAACGGCTGGTGAGAGAAGTCGGACGGGGGCGCCACAACCAACATTTTGAGAATACAACAGCATATGCGAGGCACTAATCGGCAAGTGATAATTTTCAACGCTCGTTACTCTTCCCAAATTTTCTGCAGGGCACATAACCTGTGTGGCGATCAACACTTGAAGAAATTCGTTCTAAATGTTTCAAAATTGTAACCGCATCATCCCCCAGTGTGTTGATGCTGCCTTCATAGCTTCCCCCAACCCAAAACACTTGCGAGCAGGAAGACGAGGAGGACGGCCCATTCTCACCTGACAGAGACTGCTGGCGCAATTGTTCACGTTGTCGGTGCAGTTCTTTCCCGATATGCCCGGCGGGCAGGTGCAAGTGTAGTCTGTAGACTTGTCATTGCACGTGGAGCCGGCGGCGCAGGGGTTATACACCGTGCAGAACTCGATACGACGCTCGCAGAACTCCCCTGCAGAGGTCGACAAAGACTTAGCACTATACCTAATAGCATTGTCAGATCGGAGCGCAGTGCAGTATGCGTTTGGCACGTACGCCAGATGCATGAAAATGCACTGTGTCAAGTTTTTGCACGGTCCGGTCACGCACTTCAGGTCGAGCCCGGTGCAGAGAGAGGGGGGAAGAGGGGGGGGGGGATAGCCGTCACTTTCCCTACCAGCCGCGCGAACACACGTGACCATCCCTGCCTGACGATCATACACATCTGCCCCCCCCCCCCCCGACGCCAATGCCCGCATCCCCCACTTGTAACACACAGCGACTGTGTCATCCATCCGTAACCTCCCGACGCTTCACTCAGCGCGCTCGCGATTATCACTGACACAAACGGCATTCGTCGTCTCGGAGCCGAACACATCCCCGCCACAGTGTCTCTCTCCCATGGCGGCCGACCGGGCCGCCCCGGCGCGGCGGCAGGCAGCGACTGACCGGTGTAGCCGGGCTGGCAGCGGCACCACTACCGGCCCACACCGTCCTGACACTGGCCGTGCTCCGAACACCGGTAGCCGGCGCAGTCAGACACCCCCCCCCCCCCCCCCCCGCCCCGGCGCGGCGGCCGGCAGCGACTGACCGGTGTAGCCGGGCTGGCAGCGGCACCAGTAGCGGCCCACGCCGTCCTGACACTGGCCGTGCTCCGAGCACCGATGGCCGGCGCAGTCGTCCACGTTCACCTCGCAGTGCGTGCCCGAGAAGCCGTCCGGACAGTGGCAGCTGCGAACGCCGGCCGACGCCGGTCAGCGGGGAGCGGGCGCGTGGCGGGGTGGAGTGGGAGACGAGTGGCAAGGTCACATGACGAGACGGGTCCACTGTGGAGTGGTGAGGGAAGAGGGCACGGTCATGGGGCGAGACGGGTCTGGGGTGAAGCCGGTATGCGGCTGAGTCGAGTGGGAGATGAAGGGACACGGTCACACGAGACGGGTCAGTGGTGTGGCGGGCGCGTGGCGGAGTGAAGTGGGAGGGGTAGGGGGCGCGGTCACGTGACAAAACGAATAACGGCCGGGGAACACTTGAGTACATGTACGAATAAAGGACGAACCGAGGGGTCTGAGCCGCAAAGAATGACACAACAACCTGAGAGAGTCAAACCCAGCACATGGTCCCCCGGCGGAAAAAACAGATCATCGTACGGCAGTTCCCAAAAGTATATCAACTTCGTTACATAATGTTCACACGAATGGCAAGACGTCCCGCCTCAGAACGAAGATCACATCAAACATCTCAATGTTGAGCGCTACACCACATCAGAGCCATTCGAGAAGCTCGAACCGGCCGGCACCAGCCAGGTGGATGCGTCTCCCCACAGGACCAGATCACGTCCCCACGTGACCGTCGCGGACGCGGCCCGCCGGTCGTACCTGTAGCGGCCCTCCTGCACCACCTTGCAGGTGCCGCCGTTGGCACAGGGCGTGCCGTAGCAGGCGTTGATGGTCTGCTCGCACGTGTCGCCGTAGAAGCCGAGCGCGCAGCGGCAGGTGAAGGTGCGTGCGCGGCCGGCCCGGCACTGGCCGCCGTTGCGGCACGGCTGGGCGTGACACACGTCACACTTGGCCAAGATGGCGTCCGGCACGGGCCCGCCTGCCGGCGACGGCGGCACGCTCAGCACCAGCGGCACGTGCTGGGCAATGGCGGCTCTCAGGCCGGCCCGGACGGCGAGTGACAGATGGGACCAACGGAGTGGCGATTGGAGGGGGGGGGGGGGGGAGGGGAACAAGTGGGCTTACCATGAGCCATGCCTTCCTTAATGCGGGTCAGAGGACAGGACTGGCTTTAGGATAGCACACCACGGACGCTCTTGATGGGGAAGCCATCAGAAGCGTCCTTGGTCTGCTTATCCTACAGCAAGCCGCGGAGCACGCTCACACGTCACGCCACGCACCGGTGCAGACGAACTCGTCCTGCTTCGAGGTGAGCACCAGCTTGTTGCTCATGCGGGCGGGCGCCGAGCAGCGAGCGATGCCCGGCTCGCGGAAGTCCTTCTTCACCCAGGCGGCCAGCCAGCGCAGCTTGCAGTCGCAGTACAGCGGGTTCGACCCCAGCGCTCTGTGGCGGAAGAGGGACCACTTAGTCTAGTGGGGGCAATCTGTGACCAGGCAGGGACAAGTAACTGCGTAGGATCCGACCGAACCCGATCCAGATCTGATCCGGATCCGGCCAGAGGCGGCCGGCATCGGTACAGACTACGGGGAGCTTTATCAATGAAACGAAGCTCGGGATGACAGGTAGTCAGTTGGAACATGGCGCGTAGAGGCTGACACCACATGAACTGGGTCTATAACGGCAAAGACCGGGCGCCGCGTTTCCTAAGTCTTGAGCAGCTTCAAAGACGAGCCTCGCTCCAGGTTCGTGGACGACGGTGGCTGACGGACGTCTAATAAGCGCCCATGGGACCATGCCAGTGAGTAACATGTGAGTGATGCGACACGCGTCAGCGGCTCACATGTGGGTGATGTAACACACATCAGCGGCTCACGCGTGGGTGATGTAACTCACATCAGCGGCTCACGTGTGGGTGATATAACACACATCAGCGGCTCACGTGTGGGTGATGTAACACACATCAGCGGCTCACATGTGGGTGATGGCCGTCAACGGACTGAACGAGCCGTCTGGGATGCGCGACAGCTGGTTGCCATGGAGACTGAGGATGCGCAGTGAGTTGAGACCGCGCAGCGCGCCAGACTCCAGGCACTGCAGCTGGTTATAGCTGATGATCCTGAGAAAGGCGGGTGGCGTAAGAGTTGAGGTAGAAACTCCGCTTCATCAGAGAGATACGAGCCGACTGCTCTGTGCTTGCAAGGCCAGTAAGCATGAAATAGTGGCGCGTATCTTAACAACTGCAGACATACTGTAGGATACAACTGCAGTGAGAAGCTAAATGAACATATCATTTTCTCAACCCATCTGAGCTTCCAATCACAGCAGAGGGATGACTTAATTCAATAACTGCAGAAGAGTAGGCAGCTGGTGGGATCAGGTGAAGTCAGAGAGGTCTCGATGCTGGTGTACTTACAAGCGTCTCCAGGCTGCTCAGCTGGGCAAAGGTATCGTTCTCGACGGTGGCGATCTGGTTGTTGCTGAGGTCCAGCCGCCTCAGTGCACGCAGGTGACGTAGGTCTGATGACGTCACGCTGACCAGCTGATTGACGTCAAGGTAACTGGGGGCCAGGGCAATTCGTGCTCGAGAAGCTCTCGGGGCTCGCAACATTCAGCGTATGGAGGCTTGGAATGCCATGTTTGGTTCGCCGTTTATCGCAAACAGAACCCACAAACCAGGTTTACAAGGCTGGGCAGGGCTGAAGGAAGAAGACAAACCGTGTTTTAAACAAGGCTGAACCAGGAGCGCTTCTGCCCCGGCATTACGTGGTTGGTTTGTTTAAATCTTCCGATAAAAACGATACGCCAAAACGGATATGTGAGCACCGATAATTTTTCACTCGGACCGGGGCATTCGCAATGAGTTTAGATCACACAAGAGTTGGGATCCTTAAGCTCTGCCCACAAAACACTCCGTCAGCTGTTCAAAACACAAATATTGGAACAATGCAGTACGTGCCTGCACCAAAACATCTTAACTATTCGAAATCAGCCGTGGCAGGGCTCTGCCGACGTCGCCGTCGGCCAACGCCAATCGTTGGTGGTCCGCCATTGCCCGCGGCCGCAGTAACCGGCGGGAGAGGCCCTGGTGTCCGCCGACCCGGGCCCCAGCAGCCGACGGGAGAGGCCCCGTTGTCCGCCGCCTCACGGCCCCGATGGCCAGCAGAAGAGGCCCCCTAGAGAACCCCCCCGTGTCCGCAAGCACTGCGGCCCCCAGTAACAGGTGGGAGAGGCCCCGGTGTCCGCCGCCTCACGGTCCCGGTAGCCGGCGGGAGGAACTCACAGCTCGGTGGTGCGGCTGGAGATGCCGCCGGGCACGTGCGCCAGCTGGGGCGCGGCTGCAGCGGACCACTGTGCCGACGCACTTGCAGCCCCGCGGGCAGTAGTTGGTGGCCGGGCAGCCGGCCTGCTCCCTGCCGTCGGCTCCTGGCCGGCCGGCGGGGGCGGCGGTCAGGACAGGGGGTGAGGGGGGGGGGGGGGCGGCGCCGGCCCACTCAGGCATGACTCCAGCTCTTTCAGTCGAGGTCCGACAGCTAGGTACGATACGGAGGACTAGGGTGCTGTGAGCACGATCTTCGCTTTCAACAGCACGAGGGGAAACAATGTGAAGAAGCAAAAAGTAGACGGGAGAGCAAAAAAGAGGTTCTAAAAAGAAGTGGCAAAGAAAAGAAAACACAGATAGCGCAAAACGAAGGCCCATCAGGGAAGACATTTGCGCAGGCTTCCTGGGTCTAATGCTCGGGACGTCCGATCCAAACACGGACATGGCAACAAAGAGTGTTCGCCCTCTCTCCACCCGGGCTTCAAAGCCAGAGTCAGTGAGGCACCCAGCGCAGGGCCGGACCCACCTTCACACTGGAAGTCGGCCGGGACTAGACGCGTGAGCGGCTTGCGCCGCAGCCGGTCGGGCAGCTCGCAGGTGTGCGCGCCCACCTGGAGGTCCCCCTCCAGCTGCTCCCGCAGCCACTGCGTCATCCAGCGCAGCCGGCAGTTGCAGGCCAGCGGGTTCGACTGCAGGTCGCTGCGGTGACGGGTGAGAGGTTGGCACGGGGGCAGCTGGCTGGCCCGTCGTCGGGCTTCGCGCGGCTTGCGACTTTTCCAGACTGCGTGACTTAACTTTGAATGCCCGAACGACTGTTTAATGGTCCCCTATGTGACTTGCCCCTGTATCATCTGGTATGTGAAGCTGTGCGCATCATAGTACTCTAAAGCGCATTTTACTCACAACAGTCATTATCCTGATCAGTGAGAGGAATCCAGTCGAAGACGGCTAACGCAAATTGATGCAAGAATAGATTGGCAAAAACTAATGGCCGACCAGCCTGCCGCCTCGTCACTCACAAGGTCTCCAGCTTGCCCATGTGCCTGAACGCGGTCGCGCTCCACGCAGCTGATCTTGTTGTGGTTGAGCGCCAGCAGGCGCAGCTTGCTCAGACCGCTGAACGTGCCCAGCCTGATGCGAGTCAGCTCGTTCTCCGACAATATTCTGAAACGCGGGCGGACACACCGGCCATTAGACCGATGCGGAGCCACACGGCGAAGGGAATGGGACGAAACGACCGGTCAGCAGGGTCGGAACACACGCACTGCACAGGGATCTCCCAGCAAGCCGAAAAAGTTGCGGCATTAGAAAAGTCCTGGTTCAGCCGGGCCACGATGCGTGTAGCTCAAGGTAAAAAAAAAATGGGCAGTAGGCAACAGGTCTGAGCACATCTAGTCCGCCAAGCGGCTATAGTTAATGACCATGAATTATTAACTTGAATGACATGCGCGAGTTATTTCAGAGCCAGATATACTCACAGCTCCTCCAGGGATTGAAGGGAACTGAACGCTCCGTCCTCGATGCTCTCGATCAAGTTGACGCCCCAGGTTGATCTTTCTCAAGACCTCAGCGATGAAAAACCGGCAGCGCTCTCACCCTGGAGATTTCGTTGCTGCTCAGATCCTGAAAAAGACAGCCGAGGAGAATTTTAGTTCGGCTTCGCTGAGCCAGGTCACCGAGATCGCCGTGTGATGGAAGAGGGGGGAGGATGGGAGGAGAGCAAGGGGACTGAGGACACGGCGCGGAGCGCGCTGCGGTGCCCTTACCTTGGCGCCCCCCCCCCCCCCCCCTCCCCCAACGCGGCCGACGGACGGGCACTCACAGCTCGGTGGTGTGTTCAGGGCCTGCCCTCTTTCTCAGGCCCACGGGAGGGGAATCACATCCCGGTGGTGGTACTCGGGCTTGTCCTCCCCCTTCCCCCGTTCCCCCGGCCGACAAACGGGCACTCACACCTCGGTGGTGGTGCTCGGGTCTGCCCCGTCGCCGACAGACGGGCACTCATAGCACGGCGGTGATGCTCGCGGCCTGCCCATCCCCCGCGGCCGTCGACAGACGGACACTCAAAGCTCGACGGTGGCGCTCGGGCCTGCCCGCCCCCTCCCTCGCGGCCGACAGAAGGAGAATCACAGCTCGGCGGTGGCGCTCGGGCCTGCCCGCCCCCTCCCTCGCGGCCGACAGAAGGAGAATCACAGCTCGGTGGTGGTGCCGGGCTGGCCTCCCCTCCCCCGCCGCCGACAGACGGACACTCACAGCTCGGTAGTGGTGCTCGGGCCTGCCCCCCCTCCCCCGCCGACAGAGGGACACTCACAGCTCGGTAGTGGTGCTCGGGGCTGCCTCCCCTCCCCCGCCGACAGAGGGACACTCACAGCTCGGTAGTGGTGCTCGGGGCTGGCCTCCCCTCCCCCGCCGACAGACGGACACTCACAGCTCGGTAGTGGTGCTCGGGGCTGGCCTCCCCTCCCCCGCCGACAGACGGACACTCACAGCTCGGTAGTGGTGCTCGGGGCTGGCCTCCCCTCCCCCGCCGACAGAGGGACACTCACAGCTCGGTAGTGGTGCTCGGGGCTGTCCTCCCCTCCCCCGCCGCCGACAGACGGACACTCACAGCTCGGTAGTGGTGCTCGGGGCTGTCCTCCCCTCCCCCCGCCGCCGACAGACGGACACTCACAGCTCGGTGGTGGTGCCGGGGCTGGCCTCCCCTCCCCGCCGCCGACAGACGGACACTCACAGCTCGGTAGTGGTGCTCGGGCTGTCCTCCCCTCCCCCGCCGCCGACAGACGGACACTCACAGCTCGGTGGTGGTGCCGGGGCTGGCCTCCCCTCCCCGCCGCCGACAGACGGACACTCACGCTCGGTGGTGGTGCCGGGGCTGGCCTCCCCTCCCCCGCCGCCGACAGACGGACACTCACAGCTCGGTGGTGGTGCCGGGGCTGGCCTTCCCTCCCCCGCCGCCGACAGACGGACACTCACAGCTCGGTAGTGGTGCTCGGGGCTGGCCTCCCTCCCCCGCCGACAGACGGACACTCACAGCTCGGTAGTGGTGCCGGGGCTGGCCTCCCCTCCCCCGCCGACAGACGGACACTCACAGCTCGGTAGTGGTGCTCGGGGCTGGCCTCCCCTCCCCCGCCGCCGACAGACGGACACTCACAGCTCGGTAGTGGTGCTCGGGGCTGTCCTCCCCTCCCCCGCCGCCGACAGACGGACACTCACAGCTCGGTGGTGGTGCCGGGGCTGTCCTCCCCTCCCCCGCCGCCGACAGACGGACACTCACAGCTCGGTAGTGGTGCTCGGGCCTGTCCCCTCCCCCCCCCCCGCCGACAGAGGACACTCACAGCTCGGTGGTGGTGCCGGGGCTGTCCTCCCCCCCCCGCCGCCGACAGAGGGACACTCACAGCTCGGTAGTGGTGCTCGGGGCTGTCTCCCCCTCCCCCGCCGCCGACAGACGGACACTCACAGCTCGGTAGTGGTGCCGGGGCTGTCCCCCTCCCCGCCGCCGACAGACGGACACTCACAGCTCGGTAGTGGTGCTCGGGCCTGTCCCCTCCCCGCCGCCGACAGACGGACACTCACAGCTCGGTAGTGGTGCCGGGGCTGTCCCCCCCCCCCGCCGCCGACAGACGGACACTCACAGCTCGGTAGTGGTGCCGGGCTGGCCTCCCCTCCCCCGCCCGACAGACGGACACTCACAGCTCGGTAGTGGTGCCGGGGCTGTCCCCCCTCCCCCCGCCGCCGACAGACGGACACTCACAGCTCGGTAGTGGTGCCGGGGCTGGCCTCCCCTCCCCCGCCGCCGACAGACGGCACTCACAGCTCGGTGGTGGTGCCGGGGCTGGCCTCCCCCCCCCCCCGCCGACAGACGGACACTCACAGCTCGGTAGTGGTGCTCGGGCTGGCCTCCCCCCCCCCCCCGCCGACAGACGGACACTCACAGCTCGGTAGTGGTGCTCGGGGCTGGCCTCCCCCCCCCCCCGCCGACAGACGGACACTCACAGCTCGGTGGTGGTGCTGGGATGTGCCTGCTCGGGACCGGCCTGCGGGCGCGGCCCGAGCAGTCGACCGTGGTGCCCTCGCAGACGCACCGCTCCGGACACTCGACTGTCTTCAGAGGACATTCGTGGTAGACAGCAGGCTCACCCTTGCCGCCTGGAAAGTCGTGCAGACGACCGCGTCAGGTCTTTGGGCAGATTGGCAGGCCGGCGGTATCGGTTTTCTGAGACCAAGCGCGAGCCAATGCCTCGTTTTATCAAAAGGAAGAAAGGGCACTCATCAGCCGTACGGCTGTGTTCATGATCAATACGCTTCTAGAATATGAATGTTGTGGCCAGAAGGCATATAGCATGGAAAACCCGAGCTGAGGGTGCCATGAAGTAATGGATTATAGGGTCTAATAATGCCTTGTAACGGGGAAAACTAATTAGGTTGCACGATTTGTTTGCAAAACAATAACATGAATCAGTGAAATCGACCATTCGCCGACACCTATCGGTGATTAAAACGGGCCTGTATCTAATGGGAAGCGACGGTAAAGGAAATCGATTATGTCCGCTATGATCAATGCGACCACATTCCGTGTCAGCTGGTGCTGGCAGCTGACACGGGGAAGATGCCAGCAACATGAACATAGCGGGAGTTACGAATTACGGGCGGACGAGAATGTCATGCATGATGAGAACTGATAAGGTATAGTAATGCAACTTTGAAAGAAAAAGAAACTATCGGCTGCATTTTGCACGCATGTAGTGGGCACTCCCCAATGCTGAGCACAATGGCGTGACGCTGATACAGAATATTGGTCACGCACAA